TTTATTAACGAAAACGATCTGAATTTTTATGTTAAATCCTATTTAGAAAAAATGCTTGCGCGAAGCCACATATACTATTCCGGTTAATTAAATCTGTTCTAGGTTTGTCTTTCCTTTTTTGTTTTTCGTATATTAATTAATGTTATTGAAAAACTAGTCTCGAATTGAGCTATGTAGACTGTGAGAATGACCAACATTGTAAACAAAACTTTTTGTATTTTTAAATTGTTTTCGATATTTTTAATATAGGATTCGATTTGCTCGCGAGGGTTGATTAATTTTTCAAAAATTCTGGGGACAGGATGGTATATGATCGGTTCTTGCTATTCCAATAACGCTACCTTGATTGGATCTGATAGCTGAATTATAGATAAAATATTGGTCATTCTCACATTCTACATAGCTCAATTCGAGACTAGTTTTTCAATAACATAAAAAATTAATATACGAAACACAAAAAACAAAAAAGGAAAGACAAACCTAGAACAGATTTAACTAACCGGACTAGTATCTCAACTCACAAGTACAGTTGTCTAGAAATGAAAGCCATTCGAGAAGATAACATCGATGATTCTCAATCATCTTGTTTACATGCTTTAGCCTAAAAAAGTGACCTAACCCAAGTTTCTTTCTATCGATTACAAGGAAATCCCAATGAAAAATATCATTAAGGAAAAAGGATTGGCCTAAGTCGGATATGTGGCTTCGCGCAAGCATTTTTTCTAAATAGGATTTAACATAAAAATTCAGATCGTTTTCGTTAATAAAAGAGAAAAGATCGTGCGCCGATACAAAATGGCATCTACAGACAATACGGAATCCTACTCGAAATTTGCGGTAGAATAGTTTTTGTTGTGATTTTGGTAGCAAGGGAAAAAAGCAACAGAATTTCACTCCTTATTCTTATTGAATAATTAACTCTAGTAGTACCAAGTGGGGCATTTTTGACCCATACCGAAAAATTTGAAAACATAGTGGGAATATTTTGTTACTTTTTTTTCTATTCTTAATTCGATGTTAGGATCATTGTTATATATACATATATGTTTTTTTCTTTTATGTTGTTGCCAGTGAGTATTTTATCCTTTTTTTCGTTCTTCAATCTTCTGTTACTTGTTGATGAATGTTACTTGCGAATGATACGCGCACAAAAAAATAAAATAATCCGTTAAGAAAAACTGTATACTACCAATGGAATGCTAAAAAAAGGCTTGGTACTACTAGGGTTAAATATACTCTAACTCACGACTAAAAAGGAAAGACGTCACAATCAGCTTAGCATATAGATTTAATTGCTGACTAGTACAGCCGCAAGACAGGTGATTGTTTTTTTGAATAACTCGAGAACGAAAAGTAGTAGAGACTTTCAGTTTTTATCATTCGATAGCCAAGACTTTCGAGCAGCTTCTCACAAACAGAAGTTGTTTGAAATTATTTCTCACAAACCAGTTGTCTAACGGATCCTCAGAAAACCATTTCATAACTCGAAAATTTAACATAGCAATACATTAGCTTTTCTTCATAGGTAAATAGTCCAAAGTGTCCTCGTCAAAACCTGACTAAGCGATCGCTTAGCTTTTCGTGCTTACAATTAGAAAACTCATACGCAGGCATGATCGATCCAAACTATGTCATAATAGAAAGATATACTCTATTTTATCTGCTCAATATGATTTTTTACTTAAAATTAGTAAAAAATATTCTTTTACTCCGGAAGATTTGCAGAAACCTCTTCAAAAATCAAAGTATTTTCTGTTAGTTTTATAACTTTTATTGAGCTGCATAATATAGTGTAGATAAAACAGAGTATATCTTCATATTCTAATATAGTTTGGATCGAACTTGACTTAGTTATGAGTTTTCTAATTGTACGCGAAAAATAGGTAAAAATGGGTTATTTCATCTAATATAGATTTGCACTAGTCTTTTGAACTTTTTTCGAAATACATAACAGAGAAAATCATTCTTGGACTAATGATCATCAAGATTATCTAGTTATAGGCAACGAAAAGAGGTCTGAGGTGGATGTAGTATTGTACCAAAGGGCGCTTTTTTGACCCGAAGAATGAATCATATCTTCTAATGGTACAAAATTCAATATTTTATGCCTTTTGGTAATCCAAAATTTTCGATGCCTTTCAACGAAAAAGGAAAGTTTTTCAGAATTTAAAAAAATATTCCTACCTGGTATATATGTGACTCTCTCCGAGTGAATAACGAACTACTATCTAATTCAAAATACCGTGGATTTTTGGAATAACTAACTCGAGAACAAAAAGTGACAGAAAAATGTGGTTTTCACCATTTTGTATAGAAATATTTGCATCTTTTGATATATGGGTGGTTTTTTTAAATCGGATTTTTAGGTGGTGTATCTGACGGCTGAAAAAAGAAATGATCACTAGATATCGAAACCAAGATGAAACTTTAACTTATATTAGATGGTTTTTTTAACTGATACCACTTAAAAATCCGATTTAAAAAACCACGCATATATCAAAAGATGCAAATATTTCTATACAAAATGGTGAAAATCACATGTTTGTATCACTTTTTGTTGTCGAGTTATTCGAAAAATACCCTATATTTTGAACGGGATAGTATATGAAATTGCTGCTAAAGCAGAAAGAACCAAACGAACTAATGTTTGTTGTTTTCCTAATTATTAAAGAACTAAAAAGATGTATAGAAAAAGGAAATATTGCAAACATTACGCGAATGGCTATTGCTTATACATCGATACATACAAGTGTAAATAAAAAATAAATAATAAAAAATTAATAAAAGTGTAAATATAAATTGCGTGAGATAAATGAATCTCATAAATATAAACGTAATAGGAATTAAAACGTTTTGCATATATGTTACGTCCAAAAAACAGAACGCTAATTTATAAGCTATGAATTATACGCAAAAAAAGCAAAATTCACTCAGAAACAAGACCATCAACGTTGTAGTTCGTTGTACAATGAAAAGAAACGTTAAAGATTAAATTCTTTGAGAAATAACTGTAGTATCGTTTTTTATATCAGGTACGAATGCAATGTTAAATTATACACCAAAGACGAAATTATCTAAGATGAGATTTCTAAATACGTACTTTCGTCCATTTTTTATTTATGTTATCCAGCTAGCACGGTGATTTACTTCATAACAGCAGAGTATTTTTATTTTACTTATTTCAACAACAACAAAAAAAAACCACCAGCTTTATATTGTAAAAAAGAAAAAGAATGAAAACACAAAAATAGAAAATAAATGAGCAAAAGATAGAAGAGCCATTATGGCGAAGAGCGAGTATATTTTTCACAACAACAACAGAGAAAAAAATGTACAAAAAAAAGAGAAAAAAATCTTTGCTCATTCATCAGTTTCTAAATTGAAAGGTTAATATATGTCCGTTGAGCGAGCGTAGACAAAAGAAAAAGAGTTGGACAAATTTTCAATTGAACAAAAAATTCATTGAATTCAAGGTCTACAACTAGCCTAAAAAAGATAAGAATATTTTTTGTTTTATATCTTACACTTGACATTCAGAGATGAATAACAACAAAAAGGACACACACCCGTGGATGGACAATGACAAAAGCGAAGAAGAATGAAAAGTTTGGCCTTATATCACAGAAAAATTATAAACAAGTCTCTTTTACAGCTCTATATAGAGGATCATAGCAACATGAGCGATCGACACAATTGAATATATTTGAATATTTTTGTACTTATTTTTTTGAACATAAATACACAAGTTATTTTTTCATCTGACATGAATGAGTTAAAGCTATTTGTGGAAGGTAAGCGTACACTGATTTGCTAGATATTCATTTAACAACGAAAAAATGAACAAATTTCAGATCAAGAAAAGATAAAAAATAATTTATAAACAGAAAAAAAATGAATTTAATTTTATTCGATCTACAATGATGTTTGATAAGTGCACGATATGAAATTAGATGTGTATATTTCTTTTTTCTGTTTGTAATGGCCACGAGTAGCGGGATTTTTTTATAAGAAAATAGAAAGCAGTATAAATAAACACATTATTTTACTATGTACAAAAGAACGATAAAGTTTATTACTTTCATCACTGTTTAAAAAACAAACGAACAAATAAACAAACAAAAATCGAGTGTAAGATTCGATTAGTCATTTTTCAAGAAAACAAATGAGGCACCGGTGTTGTATTTTTCAATTGAGTATTTTTAAATTTGCAATATAATTATCATCTTAAACAGCTGTCACTTGTTCATCGTAATCTAATTCCAATAGATCATTTTGTTCGACTAAAATAAAAAGAAAGTAAAGAAAAAATAAATAGATTAAATTGAACAATGTGAATGACTTTAGAAGTAAGAGAACACACGTGCAGTTTAAAATATAGTTTCAATCGTGCTCTAGATTTTTCTTTAATTCAAATCTAATGATTAACTTACCCAAGAGAATTTATTTTATAACACAAATTAAGACAGACAATTTGGTGATTTGTATTTGTCTGATGGAGAGAAGAACGAATGGATACAATTGTCAGTTACAGTTATAGCTAACTGGAAAGATTTCAGAGATCTCAGACATACTCTTTCTTGATCAGTGAAAGACATAGAAATTTTAGATTATTCTGTATTTACCTGAGGTTGAACTGGATCGATTTGTGTCTGTATCAGATTCATTTTGAGATTGTGAACGTTTCATCCAATTACGCGCTTTTTGTGATTGAGATACTAGAATTAAAACAAAAATTAGTTCAAATTAATATTTTCTATTTTCAAATAATATTTTAATACTTGTTGTAACAGACATTGACATTGGAAGAGGTGGTCGAAGTTTAAGATTTGAATATTTTGAGCTGTAACTGTCGAAGACAGTTGATTCTGATGTTGTACTATTACTTGAACTATGATTACCACCTATCATTCCATTGGTAATACAATTATTATCCACTATACATTCATTTGTTGAATTAAGACTTCCACGTCCAGAATCACCGTCATATGATATAGGAGATCCACGAAGTGGTTGATCAATCAACGAATTTGAATTCGAATCTAGAAAATAGGAGCATAAAAATATTTTGAAAAAGTTCATCTCATCAATTATATTAGGCAAATAGTTTAGTTCAAAATAATTCATTATTATGTAATACTCACGATGTTGGGGCTGTTGACGTTGATGATGTTTAGGTCGTTGAGAAGAGGGATTTAAACTTGAACTTTCACTGGTTAAAGCAATTTTAATATTTGGTACTGATCGTTTATGGAAAGTTAACAGTGGTGGAGATGTTGGCGTCGATGAGAGAGTAGTCGCTGATGTTGAAGCTAAACTGTCCGATGTTGGATTTGTAATTGAAATTGACGATGTTGGAGGTAACGGGGATGCAGGATGGTGATAAAATGGTTTTTGGGGTGCACGTGGTTTAACGCGATTACTGTCCGATAATTGTAGTAATTTATTCATAGCATCAGGAGATTGTGTACCTATAGAAGAAGAGAAAAAGAGGTGTGGTGAAAACAATCAAATAGAGTGAAAAAACAAATATTTTTTAAAATCATAAACACAGAATTGTACAATATTTTAGAAACGCACTACACATAGAAGGATAAATTAAATAAAGAAGGGAACGGTAATAATGGGGGATACATCATAATAGATGAGAAAAGAGACTTAAACAGACTATAAAACATCTTTTCTTTCGCAATGTCAATGTTCAGTTTTATAATCTGATAAACAACAGTTATACACAAGACAATACATTGAAAATAATATTGCTAATAATGGTACAGCATTATACAAATAAATACACATTGAAATAATAAATATTTACCTGTATATAAATCTAGATAAAAAAGAAACGAATAAAAAGTAATGTACAAGAGATATCCATAAATTATGTTAACAATTCAGAGTAAATGTTAATAAAGTATCCGAACAAATGTTATAAAAAATAAAGTCTGATATTTTAGAACTCTTTAAAAAATCTAGTCAAATGGTACGTTGCATTATTGGACATTCGTTAGTATTATTTTTATCTAATTTAAAGTAATGGGTGAGACTATAAAATCTCGTTCACATTGGCAATATCGTTATTATAAGATAATACAGAAATAAGATTTAAAATTGAAATTAAGTTAATATTCACAAATTTATAGAAAAAACGAGAGCTAACCGTTTTTTTAGATAAACTATAGATTAAAAATTATGATAAAAGATAAATATAGTGTAACTTACCAAATTTTGGTAATTGTCCAGCACGTCGATCATATGATGAATTACTTGATAAACTACTTGCCGATGGTGATGGACCACGACGTTTTAATGTGCTTACTAAAAGAAAAAAAAATGATGAATACAGAGTGAAACCGTTGGAGATTATTTTGCAGAAGAAAAAAAATAAGCAAAACACCTTGTAAATTATGCAAAATGAACCAATCTTTCAGAGATATGTGATAGTAAAAAACAAAATGCAGATAGAAAAAGAGTTTTCTGTAAAGCAAAAATATTTCTGGTTAAATGGTACATGCGAATAGATCATTTTTTTTTGTTACTAGAGTGCCATATCAAACGTCTGCATGAAATGAAAGGAACAGCGATAAAAAAAAACATGGTCAAAATTTAGGCATTAGTGAAATATTATTAACAGAAGCAATATTTTCTAGAAAAATTATACCGTTTTGTAGAAACGCATTTACAAGACTAAATGATGGTGATGCTGCTGCTGATGGTGATGAAGGAGGATTACTTTTATGTTCACTATTATTATTTGTCTCATTATCAACTGCTGATGCACCGACAACATAAAAGTCCTCATCTTCTTCTGGTATACTTAAAGAGGCTAGTGTACCAATTATTGGAGATGCACCATCTAAAAGAAAGATGGATATAAACAAAAAAATAAAAATAAAAATTTGAGTATACACGCGCATTAACAAGACGTGCATCAATAAAATAGCACACACGCACATCCAATATCGACTGTCAATTTGTTATCAAATATTGCTACTACTTTTCCATTTTTTCAAATTAAAAATATAATATGTTTTTCGTTCTTTCATGCATCTATAATTTTTACCAATAATATTTGTATGATCGAAGAAATGAGATGCTATAAAAATAGTGGAAATAAAAAGAAAACAAAAAAAAAATAGCGAATTTTTTGCATTTTAGAACAAAGAAGACATAAATGTTAAATATTTTCAAGCAAAAAAAAAAATGATGAGACTATAACATAAGAAGATTTTCATCTATGTTTTATAACAGATATATAAAAATATTATCCAAAAAATATATCAATCATTTTTATTCATAGGGTATATTTCATTTAACTATTGAATAAATTTAAATTATTTTAAATATTTTTACCTGGTTCACATTGATTAGCCAAATCGATTAATTTACTTTCATCTTGAATCACATCTGCATTACTCAAATATGTTTTCACTTTTTTCACCATTAATGCCTAGTATTATAAAATAAAGAATAAATTATCAAAAATCTTTAAAATAAAACTAAAACATACTTCATCATAAAGACGTTTTGCATTTGCCAAAACGGATAAACGAATTCCAGTATGAGTTCTTTTTATCGTACCAAATGTATCAGTTGAATTACCAAATACATGAGAATGAGATGTAGGAGAATCAAACATATTTGTAATATCCTATAAGAAAAACAATAATAATAACTAAATAATAATAATAATATTTTTAATAAATAAATTTACATATGATGATGAAGCCATTCCAGTTATATGTCGAATTTCTTTTGCTAACATTCGTAATTTTTCAAAATTGATCTAAATAAAATCAGACAGACGTTATTATGTATACATGATGATTTTCTATCTCATTTTAACTTACTAATCCATCATCTTCGGATTGATTACCCAAATGAATGAATGTTAAATCTTTCATACATACAGGAAACATAGGTATCTAAAAATAATAATAATAATAAAATATCATTTAAACTATCATATATAAATTCAATTAAAACTAAATTACATACAATTGGAGGCATTATAAATTCACTTTTTAATAAATTTCGATAAACGGACATATTTCGAGATAAATCGAGTAATGATTTTAATTCTTCAAACATTTTTTTATATTTATCTGGTATTCGTTCCCACGTTGTTTGTAAACGTTGAACAGCTTTATGATCAAGTCCACTTACAATAGCAAACATTGAATTAAAATTTTTCATATCTTTACAACATTCTAAAAAAAAAAAAGAAATAAAATATAAAGTAAAAATATAAAATTTATGTTTATAAAAATAAAATAAATAAATACATACTAGCAATTTTAATAAAATGTTTAATAATTTTAGAACGTCGAACAATATTTTGTTCTCGAACAATTTCTGTAATTATCCAATACATTTCTTCATTTGGAAGCTAAATATTAGAGAGAGAAGAAATTATGTTTTTGTTTTTTAATAAAACATTATTTTCATTTAATTTACTTTAAGAAATTTATCTAAATGTGGTGAACCGTATAATGAATTAAGTTTAAATACATGATCGATATATTCCGTTGGTTGTATACTTTTAAATAATGCAAAATCTCTTAATGTTAATTGTGCACATATTTCTAATGCATCTAATTGTAAAAAATTAATTTGTGCTTCACGTATTAATTCATGTGCTAATTGATCGGGTACCAATGTTTCTGTTGAATGATTATTTTTTAAATAATATCTAGAACAAAAACAAAAAAAATTACATACAAATAGAAGTATATTTAGAACATTAGAATAATTTCAATTTTTTTACCGTGCATTTAATGAAAGTCGTTCAGGAAGATTATCTATATGATCTGGTAAACGCTTTTGTTTAATAACACCATTTTCAGCAGATACTTCGCATAACGAATAACACCTAAACAGATAAATATATAATTCAAAAAAACAACAACAACAACATCTTTCTAAATGATAGGACACTTTTATAATTAACTTTTAAAATTATACGATTTAATCACAAAAGCAGTCATTTTGTACAAAAAAAAAGAAATTTTTTAATAAAAAAAATGTTGAAAAATGGTTGAAAAAGCATGCATAAGCAAGAACAAAAAGCAAGAGATTAGGTTTTTAATATTTTAAGCAATTTCTTGGAATTTTTGAGTTTATGTGTGAGTACATAAGTGTACATGCTATGTAAAGTTTTGCATTCAATTTTCTTCAAAATTTCAACAAATGAATATAGCAAACAAAATGCATCTTTAAACAAAGATTCTCATAGTTTATTTCTAAATAGTCTTACTTTTTAAACGACTTTCAACAGTTTCAGTGTAGGTTTTTTTCTTCGCTGTTTTTCAATAGTTACGCGCATTAATATGGCAAATGTCTCACTTTTACATGCTACATTGTCTTATTTATAATTGTAAAATTTTTCAAGAAGTCTTATCTGATTTTGTAGGATTTCTAAACAAAAACTATGGATTTGGTACAGGAAAAATCTTCTATAAAACCATTGAAGTATCTTAGAGAACGACAAATGAGCTTACTCAGATATATATCAAACCAAAAATCTCTGGCTAACGAAAGAACATTCCCAACTGTCCAAACTCGATTTCTCTCAAACATATATCAATTGATAGCCTATATCATGATAGTTAAAAGCCTAAAAGGATCTATCCTCATGGCTCTTGAAGACCTGGTTTTCAGAAACTCTAAAAAAATAACTAAAATGTTTCTTAATGCTACATGATTGTAGCTCGCAAATTTCTGATTAAAAAGAGACGTCTCACAGCTCTACACAACCTTTCCATGCAAAGTTATAGAATTTACAAGAAAAGCCCTAAATTAATTTCGTCTCAAGACGTATAAAATTATTTCTGTAGCTTTGAGCTGACAACGAGCCTTTAGGGCTTTTCGTGTAAATTCTATAACTTTGCAAAGAAAGGTCATATAGAGCTGGAAGATATCTCATTTTAATCAGAAATTTGCGGTCTACCATCAAGCCTCATTAAGAAAGGTTTTGGTTATTTTTTAGAGTTTCTGAAAATCTGATTTTCCAGAAAATCGGGTCGTCAAGAGCCATGGGAATAAATTCTTTTAGACTTGTTTGAAAGAAATGAGGGTTGGACAGCTGGGAATGTTCCCTCGTAAGCTAAGCTCGCCGAAAAATAAAGTAAAGATGAGTGAAGAGTCTATATTAACACCAAAAGTTTTCTTCGATTTAATATTTTATTTTAAGTATAATTTCTCTACTTCTGAGTGCAGAAGTCTCAGTTTACTAGACAAGCCAATGGATATTTATAAATATGGCAACATAATCAAGAAGACTTCTAAATAAAAAGACACTTTCAGTAAGTTCTCAGCTAAACGATAAGTTTCAAAACATTTTTCAACACCATTAACCTCTATAAACATTTAAATAGGGTGTAGATCGGGACTTGAATCTATTAGAATTAAATGAATCAACCAATCATTACTCATTACAATTCCAAAAAAGAATGAATCATCAATGGTTTTTAATAATGTTTGAACAAAACAAAAGAAAAACCAAAAGTTTTCATCATCGAGTAGCCAACACTTTCGTACATCATCTTTCCATCAAAATCTAATGCTCAAAATTATTAGCAGTGTGCTTGATAAATCTTTGTACAATGAGTTTGCTATACAAAAGTCTTCAGACATAAGTGTGGATGAAAATACTCTAACTTTAGGTAAAAGCGTACAAAAGTAAAAAAAATGTATATCTCGCTGAAAACCCAATCAAAGTACTTGAAACATTTAGAACATGATCAAATGATGAGATTGACTACTAAAACCACCGAAAAAACCTCTAACCGTATCTTTTCTCGTCAGACAATTTTCTAGAAAATCATAAATTTTCATTTTTTTTCAGAAAACAAACATTATTCATTCTATTCTGAAATGCATGGTAGTTTCGTAAAATCTCAAGGTCTTCATTTTAATTATAAACTCTTACAGTGTATATTGTGCAAAAGAAAAAGCATTTTAAACAAATCACGGACAATTTTTTTTTTATATACATCTCTTTATTGATTTTCATTTAATTGCCAAATTACAGAGATACGCAAAACATAAACTTACATGTCATCATAAAATATACTTTGTCTGAAATCAATATAAGTAGATGAATATTTAATATATTCCGTATATAATTTCTATTCTAATTTTCACTGTAGTGACCATACAGAAGATCAACTCAACAAAGTTTGCAGTTTACGCAGTGAAGTGCAAGCATTCTTAGAATTGAAGAAATTTTTTTAACACTTCCCCCTTCCCCTCCCCCCAGCAAAACTTCCACAACCATATAAGAAAAAATGAGTTATCACCGATGTTAAAAATAATTATCTTGTTACGAAGCATTTTTGTTTTCTTCTGATCTCTAACCTAATTCCAAGTTACACCTAGCACTTCTGTCTTACCGCAACAAATCAAATTCACGACAAGACAGACGACTAGAAAGAGGATGGATAATTATTTTGTTTTTCATTTTATTAGTAAAACATACAAAGAGAGAGATTTATTTTACCTGCTTTGATCGGCAATACCAAATTCTGTTATTGCTAACATGACAACTTGTTTAGCTGTTGTATCCTAAAATAGATAGAATATGACAATGGATAAATAAAAACATAGATATAATTCTTCAAAAATAACATAAACATACTTTATGTACAGGAAAATATTTAAATGATTGATCAGAACGATAAACTTTAACAATAAATGCTGAATTATCAACGTCATCGTTTGCTAATGATGTAGAAGATGAAAGTGCTTTATGTTGAGATAAGTCTGGATTACTTGAACTTCGATTAAGACTTTTTTGAGATGATACACTTGTATCCAATATACTCTCAGTAACAGCTGTATCCAATTCACTAGAAATAAAAAAAACATAAAATATTATAAAATAATAACATGCGACTATTGCTGAGCAAAATTAATTAAAGATAAAAAGGATTTTTTGTATGAAATTACTCAATTTAAAAATTTTTTCATGTATATTTTGGTGTAAAGTCTAAACTATTTGAGAATATACCTACAGCGTGATGATGAGATGAAAAGAAAGTGTCATGGTATTAAGAGAATAGTTGTTATTATTGAACAACAGATTCGTACACAGTGCGAAACAAACAGTGGGAATTTGTGTGCAGATAGAAATAAAAATTTGTTGGTTTAAAATTACCAACTCTACTAGCTATTTTTCTTACTCTTTTCTCTTCTACTTTGTTTTCTAACCACTATCGAAGAAACAAAGCAGTAGGCTTTGTTAAGAAAGACAATTTTATGTTTTAAGCTTTTTTTTTGTTAATTAAAACCTTCGACCTGTCTTTTCATAAAAAATAAATTTGAAAATGATTTTTTACAGTACAAATTTTCTGGAGAGTTTCAGACTAATCACTATTGAATTTTGAAAATATCAAAGAAGATTGGAACATAATTGATTGAGTACGCTGAATCTTTTGACAATGTTTGTTCTACAAAGATTTGAAAATCTAGTGAAGATGTACGTTTTCAAAATTATGCAGTTTTAGACTAGTTCTAGGAGTAGCACTTTCTCGTTGCTTTTCCAAAAAAAGAAGACTAAAAATTGACTTTCCTTTAGAGAAAGTGCCGTCCGTAAGTTTCACTATGTATTAAGAAATTATATTACCATCAAAGCTTGGTATCGTCAAGATTTCTCAGAGATCTGATCAAAAATCCTTTTTATGACAACAATTTCATTGGATTTTTCGCACTATTATCATTTAGAGACACTCAAACTAGGTGTAATCTGAGATGTTTAGCTTAATTGAATCGATTTAGATGAATATATAATTTTTTAATTTATAGTGAGTAAAACTAGTGTTAACACAAATTTTTGAACGTTTTCCAAAAATCGTTTCAGCATTCCGGTGTAAAGAAAAAAGGTTTTTAAATTGAAAAGATATGCTTAAATCTTGACTAGAAAATGCCCAAAACAAAAATTCTTTGTCTCTCTTTATTCTCGAGTTAATCATAGAATAAATCCGAATACTGGTTTATGTTTTGAATAGCCATGATGCTATCAGATTTGCTAGTCTCTTCCATTTCTTCAAAAAGTATAAGAATTTTGACATTGAAAAATTTTCTCTTTTTTATTCTATTATCACTAGACTCATATAATCTTTAATTATTACAGGAAGAATGCTGTCATATCTTTGCCGCAAGAATGATTGCCTTTTTATCGCTATGTTCATAACAATATTATAAGCAGAACTATTATTATATTGAAATATGCGAAATGGTGCATTTTTTTTTTTCATCAATTGTGCCATCATACTACTCTGATTCAATTGATCAACATAAAACAAAATATATGCATCATGAAGCGATAAGAGAATATGTTCTATTTTAAGTTATAAATAAGCTGATATTGACTGATATATTCTCACATATGTAGTGAGTGTTATCTCTATCATGCATACAATAAAAAACACCTTATATTATTAGAAAGTAATTATTATTAATAACATATTTGTAATCTTAATCTTTTATTCACATAATAGCAGTTATATCATCACATTATTTATCGTACATATAAATAAATATAAACATATTGGATAAATTTAATTCGAAAAACTGATAAGAGATTTAGAATATATTTTGATTTTAGCTTAATATCTTGATGATAATTAAATAAATCTAAGTTAATTTGAAAAATAAAATTTATAAATGAGTTTTTGAAAGGATGAAACAATACAATAGGACTTTTAATAATAAAACTATCCTAGAAAAAATTTTAATAAATATAGCAGTATATTTCGTTTATTCAGATTGTAACATGGATATATGTATGAAGTAGAAGGGGAAAGAAAGATTTATAGTAAATGGAGCAAAAAATGTGAACAGTATCTATGGTGACTGAACGTATACCCTAGTGAATGTAGTTGCATGCAGATAATTGGTCTAGTACTTTCGCAGGTTTAGTCCAACGTTCTTGCGCTTTTTACAATTAAACCAAGTACTTGAACTACTTTATCCTTTTGTCAAATCCTATACCAAATACTTGCCTAAATAACCTCCAAGTATCTGTGTAAGGTTCAATAAGTAAATCAAGTACCTGATAAGTGCTTTCATACATTTATCAAGTAGTATTTTTTGAAAATACTTAGCAAATACCTGTGGGAATTTGCAAATAAACAAGTACCCACTCGCAAGTACATTCACCAGGGTATTGCTAACGAGTGTAGTAGAAGGTACATAAGAAAGTCTTTCTTTAAAAAATTCTCTATATTTCGTTCGACTCGATAGTGAGAACAGAGAGTATCCAGTTGTTCCAATGGTTCACATACAGACAATAGTCTATTGTTCATTTATATATGGTTATTATTCTCATCATTTTTTTTTGACTGCTGATGTTTGTCATCATCGATAGTTTTCCTATTAAAGTAAAAAATTTGATTTAAAAAAGACAGCAACATATTATTTTATAAAATGAAAAGATTAAAATTATTAATGAGAAAAAAGGTTATATTTTTGTATGATTTAAAAAACAATTTTTTTGACATTTCTCTATTAAAGTAGATAAATGAATAATCTATCAATGTTTAACATTAAATATAAAGACAATAGTAAATATTCTTCAGACTAAAATATCACAGTTCAAATTTTCCACTTGAAATGTGTATAAAATTTGTTCTTATATTACATATGCAGAAAAAAAATACAAAATCTGAGAATATTTTCTAAATACATTACTGATCGTGCAAGAGATTAAAAGCAAAAACATACATACACACATGCACGCACGTAGAGTGAAAATGAGCGAATAACCATATACTATTTATAAATTTATATGATATTGTCTGAAAAATCATTTCATAGTTGAGTATACTGTCATCTATGCCACTGACGAGGGAACCGCCTGAAGTGCTAAAAATCTTTTTGAGTGGGACTATTTTTAAAATGTAGATCCTCATGGACTATGAAGAATCCCAACTTGGTTCGTGCGCAATCA